TTTTACGATGCATGATGAACGACTAATCACAATTCGAATTGAATACTTCATGAAAATTAAATCAGAATACGAATTCAACTTCGAATTAATTAATACATAAATTTAATTATTTGTTCAGGAGAAATTTCAAAAAGTTTGACTATACGTATCTTTATAAAATAGCAATTTGTTCACCAAATCTAGATTAAGACGTGTTCTCCTTGTTGATAGAGAATATTCATACATTTATTCTAAAAATCACATTAAACTGTCATTATCGATAATTATAGTAATTTATTAGTCCCTGACGCGTATAATAATGATACTGGCCGTAATTCATATTCCAGGGAATGTTTTATCGTTATCATATGATTATATGGATCATAACCCATTTTCAACCGAACATGAAATTCCCCGAAATCTCAACATTGCTTATATCTGGATAACGTATTGAAACGGATTGCCCGCCGTTACGACTTTTTGATGCAACACCGTATTCGAGATCTTCAATCTCGCGGCAAATATATAAATGAATACCCAAATATGTAAAAAGTGGACAAGGCGCCATCCATTCAGCACCATCCACGTTAAAATTAAGTCCGAAAAGGAAACTACATTGACGAATCATATCAAGTATGGATATCGATATTGTTTCATACCAGGTGAACATTTAACAACAGAGAGATTCGATGACAGTACTCGGCAGCATTTTTGAACACGTTAACCAAGCATTAATTTATTTCATCGAGGCAATATTGTCTCTTAATAATTCCGTTAACGATTGATGAAAAGTTGAGTGGATGACGACGCCATTAGATAAAATTTTTCACAAATAAAGTCGGCAATGAATCATTTCTTACAATCTTCTGACTTATCCTTCATCTTCTTCGATAAGATAATCTATATTATTTTCCATTGCACATGCTTTGATATCTCGCCAACGGTCATTATTTCTTTAAGTCGAACATTGACGTACCGTAATTCGTGGTGCAAAATACCCGGGTCTCTTACATTCCATAAGTAAAGTTAATTAATAAAAAAAAGAAAACTATTAGAAAAAAGGATGCGATAGGAGTATTTTGCGTGACGAATTACGGTATCCTAATGTATGAATATAATTAACACGTGATATTATCTTGCGTTGTTGCAAATGTTAAATCTCTCATATCAAAGAAGCTTTTTTTGGTTTATTAACCAAGGCATCACTTAGGAGCGAGATTAATAAAGCATTTTCGGTATTCTATTAACCAAGCCCTCACTTAGGGAGGGAGATTATTATAAAAAATTTCTTTTTCATATATTATTTTGCTAAGAGTTTCTCTAGCAATACGATGCTGCTCAGTGTCATAATTAGAATTTCATAATCATCATTGATATGTATATCAGAGAATATAAAAATCTAAGATACTTTCCTTATATCTTGCCTTGTTCAAAGTTAACGCATTTTAAGGCTAAAAATATGTAATTTTTTGATATAACAGCGAATAATATCTGTTCTTTGTAAAAACGTGACCATTGTCGAATTTTCTAGATATCGTGAGTTCAAATAACGCAGGGGTCCGGGAAAATCCCGTTATGATTTTGAAAAAATTCCGAAATTGAATTTATTAATCATATAATACTATTTCTTATAATTGTAAGTGCGCGAAGAGATTCTTGACTAAAATTTTGCTTATCATCATCCTTTCTATATTACATGATGAAATTCGTAACTAATATAATTGATATGAAACTTTGTTCTAAAAATTAATTCAATTTAAATAAATTAAGTCCATTCTTGTAAAAGTGTCATAGATACATTATTATTAAGTGTCGAATTTAACGTTTGTTGTGTTATTTGTACAAGATTATAATTTGCGAAATAATAATTATTTTATGTTCCCATTTAATT